AGGAGCAGAGACACGGACGTTTCAGAAAGGCAGCCTGGTTGTCATGTTGTTCTTAATGTAATCTGACCACTTCTCTACCCGCTTTAACCACTCCAGTGACTTCCCTTATGCCCTGAAAATAAAGCTTAAAGTCTTGGCCTTGGCCTGCAGCACTCCACGTGATCTGCCCCCCCACCCAAGTCTCTTCAGTGGCACCAAGGCCCCTCCTACCTCCAGGCCTTTGCACACGCTGTTCCCGGCATCTTCTCACCACTCCTCACCTACTCCGCTTCTGCCCTCTCCTTGCATGCAGTAACCTCTGAAGCTGTGGGCTGTCTCCCGTGAGCAGCACCCAGTGAGGGACCCACTTTCATGTCCCCTTTTCTCTCACAGCACTGAGCACTGTTTATAACCCTCTTAGTTGTGTATTTCCAATGGGGGCAGGAGTTGGTTCTTGAGGGAGTGAAAAACAACTTAGATGGTACAATTATTGTGGCCCTACATGACAGACTCTTATTCCCTGGTATTGCATCTCTCATCAGGAAGAAACTAAATTTTAATAACTTAATCAAATTTTATTACTTAATTGTAATTAGGCTTAATTGATTTAAATTATTTACTTAATTAATCTAAGTCAATGTTTCTCCTTAGGGAGTGGTAATAGGAAAAAAGTAGGAAATGCTGCTGTGAGCATCCCAAGCTTGCTTATGATTTGTCTGATGCCCTCCCTCACTGAGCCCACGGAGGACAGGCCCAGGTCTGCCTTAGTCCTGCTGCAGCTCCAGTTCCAGAACACTGCCTGGCACACAGTAGGTGTTCAGAGAACACCCTCCATGTACCAAGCACTGCAGAGAACAATCCAGACAAGGCCCTGCTATAGAGTCCACACCAGGTCTCCTCTCCCTGGATCACCTGGGCAACAGAGGGCCGCAGAAGGTTCAGGGGCCGGGAGGATGAGAACTTGCTGGCTCATGCATCCTCAACAAGAGATCACAGCCGCCGCTGCCTCCCAAGCCTCCTCCTACCAAGTCCTGCCATGAAGCTGGCCCAGGACGGGAATAGAGCGGCCCACAGCTTCAGCAAAGCTGGAGGGGGTGAGTGCAGCTAAACCCGTCTTGGCAAGTGGCTTACTCAGGGTAGGGCAGAGCTGAGCCAAGGGTTGGGAGGGGGCAGGACTTCTGGGTTTCTGTGTCCATCTGGCTCAGCCTCACTGTCCTGGGGGACCCGGGCAGGGTCAAACCCTCGATGAGGCTTTGTATCCTCCAGGAGAACCCCACCACCGTGGCCACAAGGATAAATGAGCTACGATAAACATAGCATGGCTGATGTATATGCAGACCCTCCCACCTGGTCTCCGAAAGGATTCAAAACAGCTTTCACAAGAGGCAAAGAAATGAACACAAGAGCCTGCAAAGTTCACACTGGCAGACAGGAGAGGCTGTGATCCCTCCAGGAAGCATGCCTGAACAGCAATGAGCTCCCCATCAGGCGGGGTGTGTAAGCAGAGGCTGCAGCCCCTGGTGGGGGTGCATCAGAGGGTGGCTTTGCCAGATGCTAAGTCCCTGCGGGGGAGGAGATGACACCAGCCCTGCCTATGACATCAGTCACCGCTCTGCCCACAAAGCAACCAGGTAGACAACCCGAGATAAAGCTGGTGGTGGGAGCTTCCCCTTCCACCTCCCCAAGCCAGAGTTACCAGGACAGACTTAAAAACTGGTAGAGGGAAATAAACCTTAATCTGGGCTCCTGGGACTGCTGTGCTGAAGTCCGAAGCAACTCACAAGGCAACCTATGCTGGGGAGACCTCGGAAGGCATTCGGCCCCCAGCCTCAGTGCCACCTGCCATGTGACCTTGAGCTCATTGCGTCCCTCCTCTGAGGTCGGGCTCAGTACAATGGGGGTCTGCCCTGCTCCTGGAGAGCCCTCCCAGGACTGATGCCCCTGAGAAGATAGAACTGCAGCCCCCAGCCCACCGCCAGCCCAACGCTGCACATAGTTCTGACAGGGCCCAGCTCCCTGGGCCCCCTGCTGTGGGTCTGTGCTCAGTTTTCTAGCACCTTTCCTGAGCCTGCCATTTCCTCTGTCATTGCCAGACCCCCTCCAAGCTAGGCTCTGAGCAAGACAGAGCCATCCAGGTGCTAGAAGAGCTCCCAGCCTATGAGGGAGGCGGTCAGTGGACATGAATGTAAATAAGTATGAAGAAAATACAGCAGGGCGAGGGAACAGAGTGATGGGCAGTCACAGGAGACCTCTGTGAAGACATAGCACCTTCAGAGACATCTGAACCATCCAGGAGGACACCTTGGGGGAGAACATTCTGGGCAGACAGGATAGCTGGTGCAAAGGCCCTGACGCAGGCCCAGGCAGGGTGGGTTTGAGCACTGTGGCTGAAGCTCAGCAGGCAAGGGGAGGTCGGGGAGGACTGGCTGGTGTGGGCATTGTGGGATACTAGGAGGAGTGGGGGCCCCAGCAAGGTGAAAAGGACTGAGCTGATACCTAACAAGCAGGCTGCCTGCTCTGGCCTCCGAAAGGTGATTTGCTAAATCCTCCCTTTGGTACCACCTTCCCACTCCTGTCCAGGCCCAAATGCTACATTTTTAATGCTGCCTGATGAGGAGACTCTCACAACTGTAACTGAAACAAAACCCACGTGCCTCTGCCATCTTTCTCTCAGCTCGGAGAGAGCCATCAGACCCAGGTCTGGGAGAGGTGCCTTCCCAGACTGCAGCAGAGAGAATGGGGACAGAAAAGAAGGGGCCCTGCCCCTGGGAACAAGGAGCATGGCTGGGAGAGAACCTTCCCCAAGGCCATCGGTAGTTTAAGCTGCAAGGGCAGGAGGACTGGGCATGTCCTTAGTAAATGCTTGCACACTGGCTTCCCCATGTGGATGCGTCCACATCTTTTGTAAAAGTGGAAGAAGGGTCCCATAAACAGTAACTGAACTTGTAGAAACTGGTGTTTGAACTCTTAGAGGAATCTGCAGACTCTGAGGTGCTTTCTCTAGGGGCCAGGCTAGGCAAATGGCACCCTGCTTGGTGAACACACATGCTTTGTACCCTAAGGCAGGCTTAGCAAAGCGTAAATTACTTCCTTAACTGTTCTGTAAACAGCACATAGTTTTGCAAACTGCTGTCCTTTGTAAACTGTAGCGCTTTCTGTAAGCTGTAGCGTGATTTGCCAGTTGTAGAGGCTGTGCACCCATGAGAATCTGTGAATGAGTCAGGCCCTCAGCCTGTCACTCCCTCAACCACAGAGCTCCCCATGGTGCCAGTGCGTGGAGAGATGGGGTGGCGCACACAGGAGGGCCAGTCCGCCTGTGGTGCAGGCGCAGAGAACTGAGCTGACAGGGTCAGAACCTCAGCCCCAGGACACGCCCCTGGCCCACCGGAGACCTCTGCCCCACCTAGGACCGCAAGGGTGGATAGGGCGCTCCCAGGCCGGGAGGAGCTGGGGATGCGGGGTCAGAATAGAGGCTCTGCCGCCTCCTGGTGGCTGCAGGAGGCGCGACGGGGGCCGTGCCCCAGAGACTCCGGTCGACCGGTCCTTATGCGCGCGCGCACATATGCATAGGCGCGTGCGTGCACGCTCTCACGCGGGCCGATCCGCGCACTCGCACATACCCACGTGCGCACCTACACACAGAGCTTCGGGTTCATTCACTCATCCTTTCTTTTGTGTTTTCATTCAACAAAGGCTGGCTGAGCGGTCGCTAGATGTCAGCACTGGGGACTCAACAGTGGCGGGTCAGGCTGCCCAGATACAGCGGAACAGACTGGCTGGGCCGGTGGGGCTTGGCCTCTGAAGAACTGACGTGGGAGACCAGGAATGGCGGGCGGGTGAAGGCATTCCAGGCAGAGGGCAAGGCCAGTGCCAAGGCCTGGAGCTGAGCAGGAGCCTTCGTGAGGGAGGAAGGGGCACACAAGCACCTAGAAATTCAGTGCCGTGCCAGGAAACGGTTAACGTTAAGGCAGTATAGCCTGTCCCAGACTGAAGGCTGACTTGGGGACAAGAAGACGGCCTCTCGCTGAACTGAGGACAGGAATGGTGAACCGCGGCAGTGGAGAGATGGACCCCAAGAGGATCTGTGCTTCCCACTGGGAACATGCCCCAATTTCCCCTGGAGAACTAAGGCGACCCAGCTCCCAGACTTCGAGGTGTGGGTAGGCTGACTTTCCCTGATATGATCCTCTTGGCCTGTGGCTGGCTGGAGGATGACCATGTGACTGAGCCCTTCCCAGCCAAGAAGAGCCAGCCCTAGGACTTCGGCTGGAGCTCGGCACCCCTTTGCTGAAAGCTGGTGGGAGCCACTGGGTCCTGACTTGTGCCCATGACGGGTGTGTGGAACTGAGACAGAAAACAGAGCTAAGGTGGACACAAGTACTTCAGGACAGTAACTGATCTCCTGGATCCAACTGTACCTGAAAGCCACAGATCTGCTTACATAAGCAAATTCCCTCCTGTTTCAGTCTGATGGACAAGGGTTTCTGCCCCAGCCCAGGCTTCAAGTATCACAAAGCCAGACTGGATCCTGACAAGGCCTTTCTAAAGCCACCCTTATTCCCCCCAGAGCCTTCTCCAGCAGGCTGATACTTGTCCCCAAACCTGTTTCTCCACCTTACAAGCTGTTCAGCTTTGAGAAAGTTACTTCAGCTCTCTGAGCCTGTTCTCCCATCTGTGAGCTGGGGATAACATAACCACCTGAGATAATAATGTAACTCAAGGCCGGGCACAGTGCCTAGCATGTGCTCATTACTGTTGCCTCAGTGACAGTGGGCTGGGCTTGTGTCTGCTCTGCCCAGCATCCACCACAGGCCTGGTACCTCATCACAGCCCTCTGAGAGCCTCAGCATCCTCACATGGGAAAGGGCCTGTCACATACAGGGCCCTGTCAGGCCATCGGGCCCCTGCCCCCCTCATCAAGCTGCGCTGGCCCTGGCCCAGGAGCAAAGGGTCCTTCCAGAGGCCACAGACCTTCACTTGAGGAGTGCGGCTCACCACTGTGACACACAATCTCACACAACCTTTGTCCCACTTTTTTTTTAATTAAAACAGCAATCAGGTAACTGCCCCAACCCATCAGGAACAGGACCCAGAATGGGCAGTCCTTTCTTCAAAAAAATATATTTTCTTTTTTTCTTTCAAACAATACCAAAAGCAAATCCATAGCCCCTGTTGAGCCCATCCCAAGGGAGAGCGGGCTGGCAGCTCCCCTAGCAGCTCTCTGAACAGAGACCCATCCCCCAAACCCCAGCAGAGGAGAGAAAGCATATCTCAGCCTGCTGGTTCCCTAGAGGGTGGGAGAAAAGTGATTGGCTCCAAACCATGCAAGAAAAACCAGCCAAACCCACAAAGCAAAAGAAAAAATCAAAGAGGATAAATTTTAAAAAATGTGAAATGACACCCCTAGAGGTGGTAGGCGGGGCTGCTGACCCTGTGTGCCCTTAATGGCCGTTTGCCAGTGCTGGGGTGCAGGCTCGGGCAGCTCTGGCATCTCACTCATAGGGTGCTCAGGGGGATTCACGTGGCTCATCCCTCTATTCTATCCCCCCACACCAATGCCAGGACACAGGTGTGGCCACCCTGGGCTAAAGTGTGCAAAGTCCATTCAATCGTGAGATTAAAAAAATATACAACTTTGAGTGGCATCCAGGGCTGGGCCAAGGCAGTGGCCTGCACCGAGGCATGAGCTGCCTTCCCTGGGAGGGGCAGCAGCATCCGGCAGGGGGCATCCACGCCCCTCCAGGTCCAAAGCCTCGGATATGGAGACATAGGGTCCTTGGAACAACAGGGCAGAGGCACCGGTGGGGCCCACATGGGTCCGGCTGGGCGCCTCCAGTGGTCTGGTTCTTTGGCACTTGGACCAACAGCCCGTTGCCCTGTCAGGCAGGCGCAGCCCCCTACATTCCTCCAGATTCCTCCAGGAAGGCCCAAGGCCAGGGTGGCAGTAGCTTGCAGGTGACGGCAAGCACTGCCCCAGCAGAGGGGGCTTGGGGCCCTGGAGGCCAGAGTGGGAGTCAGGGCCCCACCCCTACAAGTCCTCCCCAAGGACCTCCTTCACAAAGGCAGCAATGTCCGTCTTCTTGGTTTTGTGCAAGGTGAAGAAAGGGTGCTCCTGGTGGGGACAGAAGGCAGTCACCTTGGATGGGCTGACACTGGGGTTGAGGTGCCCTGCCTCTCCAATCCAACCCCAGCCCCTGCGTGCTTCTCCTGCCCAGGACTCCCTTCTGCCTGGCAAACTCATACTTACCCTTCTCCACCTTTAGGAAGCCCTCCTAACTAGAGAGTGTTGGTGGCTTCCTTCTTGGCCTTCTTGCAGCCATCCTCCAGCCACACTGAACTCACCTTTCCCCACACATGCCAGGCCTCTGCCCATGCTGGGCATCCCACCTGGAATGTCCTCTCCATCTGCAGGTGAACACTCACTCATCCTTTCAGGTAAATGTCACCTCCCTGTGAAGCTTTCACTGATGCCTTCAAATAAAATGGCCACATCCCTCCCCCTGCACCATGTGTCACAGCACTGCCTGTGAGCCCCTCCATAGGGCCTGGCATGGGAGAGGGAGGAGACAGCTGGGGTGTGCATGAGTGCAGGAGTGACAGTGCCTTACTCATTAAGGTGGAGCAAGCCAGAGGGGCTCTCCACCTCCATGTGTGGGAAGCAAACTCTCCCCACCCAGCACTGCTCCCACCCACACTCACCATCAGTTCCAGGTAGCTCATGCGCTCCGCAGGGTTTTTCCTCAGGCTAGGAATAAACAAGGGCAAGCTGACACCAGGTTGGCATGAAAGAGTGGAGTCTGGCCCCTCCAACCTAGCCAAACCCCTGGCTGGGTAGCAAGAGGGAAATGTGTGCTCCTGGGGCCCAGGAAAGAAGGGGTGGGACTGTTCTGGGGGCATTCCCAAGGAAGGAGTGGGATCCATGGGTGCAAACTACAGAGACTTGGACCTAGTTTCTTTCTCTTTGGATGTTAGCTTTCTTGTCTGTATAATGATCTGGGGAATTTCCCATGATCCCAATACCAAAATGACACTGAAATGCTACAGCCAACAATCGTACACTTGGTATCCTTAATTGGGAGGGGAAATTCCTCCTCAGGAGAAAAGAGGTCCCTATTAAAAGGGGTCAAGGTGACCAATAACTCTGTTTGCCAGGCTCATTTGCTTTTAGTGTTTCTTATTTTCTAATGAAAGAAATAAAGGCTACAAATTTTCCTCTGAGTATCTCTTTGCCCATAACACATAGATGTTGGTATGTTATGTTTGAGAAAGTTACTTCAGCTCTCTGAGCCTGTTCTCCCATCTGTGAGCTGGGGATAACATAACCACCTGAGACAATAATGTAACTCAAGGCCGGGCACAGTGCCTATAGCATATGCTCATCACTGTGCCTCAGTGACAGTGGGCTGGGCTTGTGTCTGCTCTGCCCAGCATCCATCACAGGCCTGGTACCTCATCACAGCCCTCTGAGAGCCTTAGCATCCTCACATGGGAAAGGGCCTGGCACATACAGGGCCCTGTCAGGCCATCGGGCCCCTGCTCGCCTCATCAAGCTGCGCTGGCCCTTTCACTTCTGAACAGCTTGTAATTTTATTTTTCAAATCTCTTTTGTAACCCAAGAGTGAATTAGAATTTATTTGGAATTTCCATGTATCTTTTCCCTCTGTAGTTATGGAGTTTTTAATTATGTGCAGAGAATATGCCTATATGACTGCCTTTTTCCTTTTTCCCTATTTCCTATATACTCTCAAGCACACTTTTTATAAGCTCCCATGGGCATTCTTTAACTTGCTACAAAGTTCTAAACATCAAAAAAACAAAATTTGTTTATATTTTCAAGTCCTCCATATGCTGTTTGTTTTCTTTTTTGGTCTACCTGGTCTGTCCATTTCTAGGATTGTGTTAAAATCCCCCCAAGGACAATAGTCAAATATTTCCTTGTGCTATATTTCTGCCTTGAATATTTTTGATGCTATGTTGATTGGTGGTTTGTTTGCTAAAGAAAAAAGGGATGGACAGAGCTCAGAGAGGAGTTGAGATCTGCCCAGAGCAAGGAGGGGTGCTCCTGAAGTTTGGGGAGGCCCAAAGGCCATGGCAGGGCTGGAGACTCACCACTGTGCAGTGAAGTCCACAAACTCAGGAGAGAAACGGTCAGCTGGGAGCTGGGGGGACGGTTCCTCCACCACCTGCTTCAGCTGCTGGAACGGGGTACCCCAGGACTCATAAGGAAACCGCAGAATGGCCATCTCGATCTGCAGCAGGGACAGTGGCACCAGGTCAGCTGTACACACACTCTGCACCTGGGAGCAGGGCATTTCGGGAACCTGCCTGTCCTGGCTTCAAGCTCAGAACTGGGCCACAAGGCAGGTCGAGGAGCCCGCTCATGACATTAGACCAAAGAGGAAAGCCAAGGGGACACCAGTAGTTGGTTCCTCTGACCTGGACAGTAGAGACTACAGCTCATGGAGTAATCCAGCCCTGGGCTGTGACTGGTTGCTGAGTTTTCAAACAATTTGAATTCTCATTACCTTCCTTAAAAACCCAGGTTCCAGCTAATCTGGTAAAATCAGAGGAGCCGGCAATAGTGGGCCACCCGTCTGAAGGCAGCAGCTGGCAATGGCTTCCCTGTTCACACAGGCCACTTCCCTCTCTAATGTCTCCACAATGTCTTAAGCATCTGTTGCCATTTATTTGGGCAGCTGTTACCACAGGAGGGCCAGATGGGAAATGAAATGATGCTCATGCACTCATCTCTCCCCAAGGCTGTACAAGGAATGCTAAACCTGAGACCCACATCTGACTACCTTCTTCACTCTGTGATAGCCCACCACACTCCGTCCAGGACTGAAATGTGCAGCCCCTCCTTCTCCACAGAGCCCCCAGCACCCACCTACCAGTGTCCTGTAAGGCCCACCTTCAGTGTCACCTCCTCAGGGAAGCCTTCACCTCCCTGACCCCTCAGACAAACGGTGACTATAGCAGTCCACTGGACCTGAGCCTCCCTGTGGGTGACGTTGAGGCTGGATGTCCTCTGCACCCATGCCAAGCACCTAGCTCCATGCCTTGCCTGCAGTTGGCAGGAAGTCATTCGTGGAAAACACTGGCTAGCTTACAACTCTGGGTTCCAATTTTGACTGCTGAGATGAAAAAAATTAATCAGGTCAGTGCAGGTCCCTGCCTGGAATAGCACAGAGGCACTAGCAGGCCACAATCACCACGATGGACAGAAGAGGCTTCAGCTCAAACAAGTACATCATGTCGGCAGCCGGCACTGGAACAGGTCACTGATGATCGTGCTAAGAAAGGTACCTCCCATTAGGCTAACGGCCCCTTCCCAGCCAAGACACACACACCCCGGCGCAGATGGACAGTACACAGTGCAGTGCATGTGGGGGTGATCCTGTGGGTCTGTAGTCTCACAGGACAAATTCAGGGTGCTTTTTCCTAGAATTTTCACTGATTCCAACAAGCATAAGTGAGGACCCTGTGGGAGCTACCAAAGAAGGACCCTGCAGCTAACCGAAGTTTATAATTAGGAGGACAGAAAAATGTCCAAACCCTTGACCTAACAATCAGTCCCTTTCCTGGTAATTTCTTCTAAAAAGCCCAAAAAACAAAAGACAAAAACAGCATCTGGGCACAAAGATGCACAGCAAGTCTCATCTGTCCGAGGAAATACCGAGCAGCAGCCTAAGCAGGCAGCGCCTCCCTGGTGCCCGTGGCCAGTGCAAGGCTTCCCCACCCCCACCACCTGCTGAGAGGAAGTGTAGGGAGGCTTCCAGTGTGTAAAGCCTTCTTGGACCTTTCAGCCCAGCACAGTCCTGAGCAGCCCCAACCCCAGCCAGAGCCAGGTGGAGTGGAAGAACAACCTAGCTGAGTCCAGCCCAACTGCAGAAACATGAGAAACAATAAACCCTGGTTGCTTTATGTCACTAGGCTCTGGAGTGGTTTCTTATGCATTTGGTAACTGAAATATGCACTTGTTCAAGGCCCATCAGAAGGTCACGTAGATGTGGCAGATGCCCAATAAGATGACATGTAGACAGAACGCAGGGAAGGATGGAGGGAGGGGAGCAGGGGTGTATGTGTGAAGCAGCCATGAGTGGGGTATCTAGCACCTGACCTGTTCTCTGCAGTCTATAAACACAGGCACACATAGTGATAATGTGCGTTTGCTTCCAGACCACAGCAATAAAGCAAGCACCAAATTAAAGCAAGACAAATTGATTTTCTGGCTTCCCGGTACAGACAAGTTATGTTTACACCATCCTGCAGTACATTAAGTATGCAATAGCATTATTTATTTTAAAATGTACATACCTTAAAAAAATGTACATACCTTAATTAAAAATATTTTATTGCTAAAAAATGCTACCCATCACCTGAGCTTTCAGTGAGTCATCACCTTTTTGCTGGTGGAAGGTCTTACCTCCATGTTGGCGGCTGCTGACTGATCAGGGTGGTGGTGCTGAAGGCTGGGGTGGCTGGGGCCATTCTTCAAGTAAGACAATGAGTTTGCCACATCGACTGACTCTACCTTTCAAGAACGATTTGTCTACAGCACTTGATGCTATTTTATAGCATTTTACCCATATAACTTCTTTCAAAATTGGCATCAGTCTTCTCATACTCTGCTTCTGCTTTTCAACTAAGTTTATGTAATCTTATAAATCCTTAGTTGGTGTTTTAACAATCTTCACAGCATCTTCACAGGAAGTAGATTCCATCTAGGAAACCACTCTCCTTGTCCCTAAGAAGCAGCTCCTCATCCATTAAACTTTTATCACAAGATGGAAGCAATTCAGTCCCATCTTCAGGCTCCACTTCTAATGCTAGTTCCCGTGCTGTTTCCCCCACATCTGCAGTGACTTCCTCCCCTGAAGCCTTGAACCCCTCAAAGTCACCTATAAGGGTTGGAATCATCCTTTTCCAAACTCCTGTTAATCTTGATATTTTTTACCTCTCCCCCATGAAATCACAAATGTCCTTAATGGCATCGAGAATGGTGAATCCTTTCCAGAAGGTTTTCAATTTACTTTTCCCAGATCCATCAGAGGAATCACTGTCAATGGCAGCTATGGCCTTATGAAATGTATTTCTTAAGTAGTAAGTTTTGAAAATTGAAATGACTCCTTGATCCACAGGCTGCAGAATAGAAGCTGTGTCAGCAGGCATGACAACATTCATCTCGTTGTCCATCTCCACCACAGCTCTTGGGTGGCCAGGTTCATTGTCAGTGAGCAGTAATATTTTGAAAGAAACCTTTTTTTTCTGAGCAGTTGGTCTCAACAGTGGGCTTGAAATATTTATTTAATAAACTATGCTTTAAAGAGATGTCCTGTCATCCAGGCTTTGTTCCATTTATAGAGCACAGGCAGAGTAGATTTAGCCTCATTCTTAAGGGCCCTGAGATTTTTGGAATGGTCCATGAACACTGGCTTCATCTTAGAGCCACCCACTGCATTAGCCCCTCCAAGAGGGTCAGCCTGTCCTTCGCAGCTTTGAAGCCAGGCATGGACTTCTCTCTAGCTATGGAAGTCCTAGCTGGCATCTTCTTCCAGCAGACACTGTTTCATCTAGAGTGAAAACTGGTTCTTTAGTGTAGCCACCTTCATTATCTGAGCTGGATCTTCTGCGTGACTTCCTGCAGCACCTACACAGCACTGCTGCCTCACCTGTGCTTTTACGTTACAGAGGCGGCTTCCTTCCTTAAGACTCTGGAACCAAACTGCCAGCTTCAGACTTTCTTCCTGCAGCTTCCTTACCTCCCGCAGTCTTCTGAGAACTGAAGAGAGTCAGGGCCTTGCTCTGGACAAGGCTTTGGCTTAAGGGACAGTTGTGGCTGGTCTGATCATCTATCCCGACCACTAAAACTTCCTCCATACTGGCAGTAAGGCTGCCTCGCTTTCTTATCATTCCCTTGTTCACTGGAGGAGCACCTTTAATTTTGCTCAAGAACTTTTCCTTTGCATCACAACTTGTTGACTATATGGAGCAAGAGGCCTGGTTTTCAGCCTCTCTCAGCTTTCAGCGCACCTTCCTCACCAAGCTGAGTCATTCCTAGCACTGATGCAAGACGTGCGCTGCCTCCTTTCACTTGAACACTTAAGAGGCCACTGGAGGGCCATTAACCTATAATACTGTTGCATCTCAGGGAACAGGGAGGCCGGCAGAGAGGAGAGAGATGGGGAACAGCCAGTCCATGGAGCAGTCAGAACACACACACTCATCAAGTAAGTTTGCTGTCTTATATGGGTGCAGTTTGGGGCACCCCAAAACAGTTACAATGGTGACATCAAAGATCACTGATCACAGACACCATAACAAACGTAATAATTAGAGAAGTTTGAAATACCATGAGAATTCCTAAATGTGACACAGAGACATGTAGCGAATAAACGCTGTTGGAAAAATGGCACCGATAGACTTAATGGACACAAGGTCGTCAATCCATGAAGTGTGATAAAATGAGGTCTGACTGTGTGACAAGAACTTGTCCTTAGTCTTTTTTAACTCAGGAGTTACTCTTACCTGCGAGGACAGTGTCCACCTTCAGGCTTTAAGTGTCCCTCTATGCTTCAGGAGTGAAGCTGAAAAATGATGTGTCCATGGTATTAAGGAGAACTGAAGGTGTCCTGCAACACCATGTCTCCAACAGAGTGATCTGATTTTGATCCTTTCCCTGTCATTGTGCACAACACAGACTATAAAGTCGTCACACAGTGTGACAAGGATCACAGGTACAGCAGTATACTAGATCCCTGAGCAATACTGGTTTGAACTGCAAGGGTCTCCTTATATATGGATTTTTTTCAATAAATACATAGTATCTGTAATTGGATGTGAGGCAACAGATACCATGGGTGGAAAAGGAAAAAAGTCGTGCACAGTGGCCCATACAGGGACCAAACCCACCACTTCAGCTTGTTAGCCCCTCTCCCTGACCGAGCGGACCAGCCCCTCAGGTCAGAGCGCAGAGGGCAGCTGGCAGGCGGAGGCCCCTGCGAAGAGGCCCTCTCAGCTCAGCCTGGCTCCCGGCAGGCAGGCATTCCCCAGCCGAGGCCAGTGGGGCCACTTGCTCACCTTCCACTTGCTTTCCGCCTTCTGCTGGACCCTCGGCCCTCCCCTTCTTTTCTACTTTTCTACTAATTGTGGCATTTAAAGTTAGCTGACCTACATACAGTAAGCTCTTGGTAGATAAGTTTTGGGGGGCGTCAGAAGTTATTCTTGGATTTGCAGCTACAGGGGGGGTGCCCCTGATCCCACAATGTCTACTTACCAGTAAAATCCAAAACACCTATGCTGACCCCAAACTCCCACCCGACACGCACTGCTCAGACCTCCCCTACACAGTGGGCACGCCCTCCCCTCGGGGCCTCTCCCGGACCCTGCCTGCGGTCCTGTCAGCCCTGCCTTCCTCAAAGTCATGCCACTCGGCCCCTGCCACCCGCTTCCCCATCCTGTTCTACTCCTCCCCGCACTCTCTCTCAACGTACATTTCACTGACTGATCGTGAATGACTGTACCCACCCCTACCCCCAGGAGACAGGGAGCCGGGGGCTGCATGGGGGACAAACCCACACCTCGGACGCTTCCACTGGCTGGGATGAAAGGCCGGGCCCCGGCCACACAGTCCCGCCGACCAGCTGGGTGCCATGCTGGCCCTGCTCTCCATGCATACAGGCCTCGCACACAGCTTCCCAGTGCCGGTGGGGCAATTCCCACCCTCACCCTCTCCTGCCCCTCCAGCCCACGCCCCACTAGGGGGCCAGGGTCGCTTTCTAAATAAATAAGTAAACTTCAACCCACCCGCAAGCTGAGCCCTGTCCCAGGCAGGGGTGGGCTTCCAAGGTCCACCGGCCCGGCCGTACCCTCAGGGCTCGGCCCAGGGCACGGTGCCAGCTGCCACCTGCCCAAGCCCCACTGGATTCCCCTGCAGGGCCCGGCCACCCTGGCCCGCCACACCCAAGGGAATGCACCAGGACCCAAACCACACACATCTTGCTGTGAAAAAAAAATTTTTTTAAGATTTTTACCATTTTGCTTTCGAAACTATTTGTGTACCAGAAACTCACTTAATTTGGTACTGGCTATGATTTCTTGACAAGCACTCGTGAGCTCTGGGCAAGTCCGCCTGACAAGTTCTCACAAAACATGGAGGCCGTTTGCGACAGGCACACCTCGCCAGCAGGGAGGCACATAATGTCACCTGTAGGTGTTCCCTTAAATACATCGTCATGTCTGACGGCACATTCTCTTCTCGGGTTGTGAAGCTGACACTTTTTTCCAGGGCCTAAGCTCTCTGGCCAGCCCTTGGAAAGCTCACAGATGCGGCCCAGCCCCGCCAGCCATAGAGCCCCACGGCCCTCCCCACAGGGCTAGAGCCCCACGGCCCTACCCCCAGGGCTGGAGCTTTGCGGCCTACCTGCCAGGGCTGAAGTCTCACTGCTCTCCACCCCAGGGCTAGAGCCCCATGGCCCTCCCCCAGGGCTAGAGCCTCACTGCCCCTGCCCCCCACCCCAGGGCTAGAGCCCCATGACACTCCCCCCAAGGGCTAGAGCCCCATGGCCCTCCCCCAGGGCTGGAGCCCCATGGCCCACCCCCCAGGGCTAGAGCCTCACTGCCCCCCACCCCAGGGCTAGAGCCCTATGACACTCCCCCCAAGGGCTAGAGCCCCACGGCCCACCCCCCCAGGGCTAGAGTCCCATGGCCCGCCCCCCAGGGCTAGTGCCTCAATGCCCCCCACCCCAGGGCTAGAGCCCCACGGCCCGCCTCCCAGGGCTAGAGCCCCTATGGCCCACCCCCCAGGGCCAGAGACCTGCCCCTCCCAGGGCTAGAGCCCCGCTTCCCACCTGCCCCGCCTAGAGCCCCACAGCGCGCACCATGGTGATGCCCAGGCTCCAGACATCCGACTTGACATTGTAGCCCTTCTGGTTCAGCTCCGGGTTGATTCTCTCGGGCTGTAAGATGGGTCGAGGAGGCATGAGCACCATGCCAAGCTGAAGGGCAGGGCAGGAACCGGGCAGAGCTCCCTCAGGTGGGTTGTGCCCTCCCCGCCCCAGACTGAGGGGCCAGAGCTCACCCTGTCCCACCTCCTCACAGGAGGTGGAAACCGAGGCCAGTGCGGGCCCGGGTCTTGGTGGTGAAGGCCCAAAGCCTGCCTTGCAGGGCGGCACCACCTGGGGCAGGAGGGGCCCCTTCAGGACAATGAGGGCGAGGCAGCACCAGCACAGACCCCATGAGTCACTGCCATGGTGTCCGAGAAACCTAGGCGAATAGACACTCTGGGGCACAGTAAATAACAGGAATAAAGAGGGGCTGTTCAGCAGGCTGGGCACAGGCCACAGGAAATTCAAGGTGTCAGGGAGTTCTGGTCCCTGACAGTTAACTCCTGGGCACACCCTCTCCTGAACCCCAGCTGTGGCCCCAGACCCAGGGTGGCACGGGAACCACTCACGGCCATGTAAGGCTTGCAGCCAGCATCCATCGTCTTGGCCACAGAATCCACCAAGTAGCCACTGATCCCAAAGTCGCACATCTTCACGTGGCCCTCCTTGTTGATGAGGACGTTGGATGGCTTCACATCTGCCAGGGACAGGACATGCCTTTTTCAGCTTCAGGCTGTGGAGCTCCGGCCAGAAGCCGATGAGCTCTTCCCACACCCTAACCTCCCGGGGCCCAGGGGGCAGAGGAGGGTCCAAGGCTCCAAGAGGTGCTGCCCAGCCAAGGCCATACAGCTGGTGTCAGCAGAGCCAGGACATGCCCAGCCACTGGCCATGAGTGGGGAAGGAAGTCGGGACTCCAAGTGCTTCTCCTGGAACCACGTCTTCGTGCCCACCATCTCTGGACACAAGGTCAAAGCAGGAGGCTTGTCCCAGTTTGCAGCCTCATGGCCAGAACTTAGCCTCAGTTTCCCTCCAGCTCTGGGGCCCTGCTGGGCTCGGAGTGGGGAAGGGGACATCACTGACAGGGTGAGAACCCAGAAACCACCCAGTGTTCACACTGAGAAATTGGGGAGTTCAGGCAGGAAGTGCAGGGCAGCAGCTAAAAGACAGGAGGCTGGTCTGCACAGGAATGTGGAGCCAACCCCAATGCTCAGGATTAATAAACAGCAGCTGCAGGGTACATGGCAGGGAACCTTCTAGCAGAGAAACACACAACACACATCCCACGTGCTTTCCACAGGATGTGCGAAAGGACAGAGGTGCACAGAAAGATGACCAGTAGGTCCCACGCTGAACCTTCAACAGCAGCGAGCTAGGGGCACCAGCTGAGATGGCCACTGATTGGTCAAAGGGAAATCAGTCTAGTTAACCTGCAAAATGCAGTTCATCTGAGTAAGTGGACTGCTTGGCAGGAAAGGGAAGGAACCACCTCACATACGACCAGGCAAACCTCGGAAACATGAGGTCAAGTGGAGGAGGCTGGACAGAGGGACATGCCCTATGAATCCACTTATACAATGTTAGAGAACAAGTAAAGCTGATCTATGAGGGGAAAGCCAGACAAGGGCATCAGGACAGGGAATAACCAGGAAGGGCCAAGAGAACTTTCTGGGCTGGGGTGAAGTTGGAAACACCCTCCATCTTGACTGGGTGGAGGCTACACGGTTGTAAACTAAACTGATTCCCAGGACAGTAACTACAAATCTGAGCATTTCTCAATCTATAGATGAGACGCCAAGACTAAGTCCACCTTCCCAGAACAAAGGTCCATCCTGTCCTTGTCCAAGGGGTGTAAGGTGCCAGTCTGGGGCAGGGGGGCAAGGAAATTCGAGTGAAGAAACGGAAAGTGGCCTAGACAGGGAAGCAGGCTCAACGCTCACCCCAGTGGGCACATCACCACCTACTGACTCCCCCAGCCTTCGCTGGCTCCTCCTGAAAAAAGGAAAGGCCTAGGCAGGACCCGGTGAGACTGTGTGGCAGCCCGGGGCCTGCACGGGCCAGCGCACTGACCTCTGTGGATCACGGACAGCTTGCTGTGCAGGTGCTCCAGGGCCCTCACGATCTGGCATCAGGATGGGGGTGAGGGGAAGAGACCAGTGTGACTCCCAGTTGCACCAATAACAACAAAGCAGGAAGACCCCAACCTGTGTTCACCTGTCTCCTCCCGTGCACACACCTCAGCCCCTCAGGACCCCAGGCACCTGCCTATATTCTGCCATTCACTCCAGTGTCCCGGCAATCTTCAGCAAAGACATACCCAGCCCCCTGCTTTTGTCCCACCCACCCCAGGGGGCCAGGGTTCCAAGCCTTTGTCCTGGATTTGCGCCCCCCCCAGGGGGCTGTCAGCACCCCCACCTGGTTCTTGGGTAGAACCCAGCCCTTCTGCAGCCTCCCTGGCTCCTCCCCCTTCCCTCAGTAGAACCACCAGCCTATATGCTTGAGCCATTGCCCTCAGGGAGACACGGTGGGGAGCCTGGCCAATTACATCCAAGTTTCTGACTTAATACCCAGGCATGGGCATGTTTAAACACTCCCAGGCGTAGTCAGAATTGAGAACCACAGGTCCTCAATATACAGCAGGTGTTACTGAAGCCATTTTCTTTTTTGCTTTGGCTGCCAGGATGCTCCAGCCCAGAGTTGCTGCCCTCCTCTAGGAATGTCCAACATCAAAAAACACACAATTTATATGCTAACCTTTCCCCCTACTTAGCTTGTACCTCTCAAAGCTGCCAATATGCTAACCTTTCCCCCTACTTAGCTTGTACCTCTCAAAGCTGCCACAGGGCTAAGCATGAGGAAATTGTAAATGCTAAGCCCTCTTTCTAAAATGGTCTAGGAAGCTCTGAAGGTCTAGAAACCCGGGACCTGCCAAATCTGTGTGGCTCCAGGAGACCCAGGCTCCGGAGTTTCCTCAGCAAGAAGGCTCTGGTCCACAATTGGGGAGCTAGGCCTCTGGGGGGCAGTCATTCAGGTTCTGGGCTACACTGGAGACCCAGCTCTGCACAAGATACCACCATCGAGCTGGGCTTTGTGCCTGCTGTGGCAGGGCTGGGGCCTCTGGCTAGGTGCCTGGAACCCCCAAACCCCATCTAGGCCTGGGGCCACTTACAGACACAGCAATCTCCCCCAAGATGTCTTCTGGAATTGTCATGTTTTTATCGAGCACCTTCCGGTAGAACTTGTCCAGCGATGTGTCCATTAGCTCCATGCAGATCCACACATCTCCCTGGGGGTGGACATCCAGAGGTCAGCCTGGGCCCACCCAGGGCCGTACCTGTGCCCTAAACAGCCTGCCCCCCACCTCACTAGCACCAGCCGGGCCTCCCTGCAGACTTACTGACCAACCCCCTACCTCAGGGACATACCAAGCTCCCAGCTCCTCCCACTCTGCCCCCCAATCTCTCAGCTTCACCTGCTTCACTTCTCCCCAGCTTGCCTGCATTGCTATGTCTACATGCCAGCCTCCCCCAGCTCTGTCACCTCTGGTTGTCCCCATCTGATCCCTAATTCCATGGTGTTCTCAGGGAGAAGTAATTAAAACACACTTCCAACCGTGCCCTTCCATGAGGGCTTCCTCAGCTTCATGGCCCAGCCTGCACACCCCTCCTACCACAGCCCCCACAGCCCCCACACATCTCAGATCTGACCTGGGCAGAGGGCTCCCCACTCCACCCACCATGCCTGCCTCCCTGGCTCCCACTCGGTGCCCCAGAAGACTCCTGGGGACTCCAGCTCAGCCTGATGCGAAGCCTCCTTGGGGTGCCCACAGGTCCTTAGGCCTCCCTGCCAGCTCTGAGCAGGGTGTGGGGAGGCCCAGGTGTGCGTCTGTCCTTGCAGTGTCAAGGGGACAGACAGCCTCAGCCTGGCATGCAGCAGCGGCTTAGCCAGTCAAACATGTGGACCCCATGCTGGCCCATTGTACCCAGCAAGCCCAGGACCCTGTAGGTGCCTGGGGAGCCAGGCAACAAACAGGAAACCTGACCTCACTCTGAGCTCCAGGCGACAAACCACCATTGCAAACCCAGTGCATTCACCCAGGTGCCTGGCCTACATCTGCACACACCAGCCCTTCCCAGCAGGAGCCCAGCTTCCATACTCCCTGGCATCGCCTGATTCCTCGCTGACCCCACATTCTGTCCTTCTTGCAGACGCAGAATCAGAACCTCACAGACCTTCTGGCTGCCCCTGCTCTTGGAGCCCCATTCTGCCAGCCTATGCGAAGCCTCCTTGGGGTGCCCACAGGTCCTTAGGCCTCCCTGCCAGCTCTGAGCAGGGTGTGGGGAGGCCCAGGTGTGCGTCTGTCCTTGCAGTGTCAAGGGGACAGACAGCCTCAGCCTGGCATGCAGCAGCGGCTTAGCCAGTCAAACATGTGGACCCCATGCTGGCCCATTGTACCCAGCAAGCCCAGGACCCTGTAGGTGCCTGGGGAGCCAGGCAACAAACAGGAAACCTGACCTCACTCTGAGCTCCAGGCGACAAACCACCATTGCAAACCCAGTGCATTCACCCAGGTGCCTGGCCTACATCTGCACACACCAGCCCTTCCCAGCAGGAGCCCAGCTTCCATACTCCCTGGCATCGCCTGATTCCTCGCTGACCCCACATTCTGTCCTTCTTGCAGACGCAGAATCAGAACCTCACAGACCTTCTGGCTGCCCCTGCTCTTGGAGCCCCATTCTGCCAGCCTAGGTGCTGGTGAGGCAGGTGTCCACATAGGCAGACCCTTGCAGGGCCCTGAGTGCCAATCTGGGCCATATTTTATTGTCCTGACAGCCTGTGAGGTGGGTACAATTACTGGCCTCATTTCACATGTGAGGAAACTGAGACAGGAGATGGGAGCCAGGCAGTCTGGCTCCAGGGCCTGAGCTCTCAAGAGCCCTTGTCTTGTCTTGGGGCAGGAGGGACCTGTTTGGTTCCCTCCCACACCCCCCACCTGGCACACAGGGCACTCAGCAATGCCCGGGGGTCAGAATGCACAAGAGTGGGCTGCAGGCTCAACAGAGGAGACAGGTGCACAGACCAGGGGTGGCCTGAGCTCCAGCACCCGCCTCCCACTCCCCCACAGGCCACACCTCTCTGAAGAGGGCCCCGTAGAAGGTGACAGTATAGAAACAGTCCACCGTGCGCATGTTGACGTCCAAATCCATGAGCAGACGCTTCTGCTCCTGTGAGTTCACGGTGGCCCGGATCCGCTGCAGGGGAGAGGACTATGGTTCAGTGGCTGCAGCACCCGGCCACACCCTTCCATGAGGGCCAGGAGCTCTGGGGGGCACCCACAGGAAGGCTCAGCCCCCATGTGTCTTTTGCACAGCCCCCCGGCAGGGCCCAGCTCTGAGCTTGGCAGGGTGGGGTCCTTACCTTAACGGCCATGATGGTGCCACTCTGGGCATGCCGCACCTTCTCCACCACCCCATAGGCTCCACGGCCCAGCTCCGAGATGGTGACCAGGTCATCAGCCTCCACCTCAAAGTTCTTGGAAGACAGAAAAGACAGACAGTTGGTAGCTGCAAGTCAGGAGCAAGCCTCACACCTCACCCAGGGGAGACAGGTGAGGCAGCGGGAGAGCACAGCCAGTCAGTGAAATATGGGCTCAAGTCATGCACCAGTCACTTCCTGCTGTGTGACCTAGGGCAAGTCACCTAACCTCTCTAGGCCTCACACCACCCTCTATAAAACAGGCACATCACCAACATCCCAGGGCTGTCACAGGTGTAGATCACATGGCCTGTGAAATGCCCCATCCAGCATGTGGCACTCAGGAGATGCCCTTTCCTCCTCCCCCACCCCACTCTGGCAGGTGGACTAAATCATTTGTTCAACCTCCTACCGTCTGCAAGCACGTGTTTCACGCACCAGGGACAGACAGAACAAAACAGAGGTCTTGCCCTCTATTGCAGGGCCAACAAAACAGGAATAAGCAAGCAGGTGACCTGGAGTCAGATGGTGACAAGTGTCGGGGCGGGAAAATCAGCCTGGGTGGCTGCCAACCGAGGAGGCCTCCACAGTGGGGTCTCCGCGTCCTGGGAGTGAGGCACAGTCCCTCACCCACTGGCACCCAGGCTGTTCAGAGCGGAAATACAGGCTCCCAGCCACAGCCCCGAGGGCAGGGCCAGGAAAGTGAGGGCTCCACACTGTTCTCACAGGCGACACAGGCACAGGTGGTCCCATAGCACAAGCTCTGAGGTCAGCAGACTTTAGGCCAGCTATGGCCCATGAGGGGCCCATGAGCCAGGCTGACCATCCCCATTCTAGACGGCCAGGTCAAAGAGAGAGCAGCCCAGGAGCACAGAGCCACAGCCAGGGAGGGGCCCCTCTCCAGAGCCCAGCACTGTATGCTGCCCACAGCCACCTCCCAGCAGCACTACAGGGCCAGCTCGGGTCTGCCCGTCAGATGAAGACACTGAGGCGCAGTGACGGGGCAGCCAGCACCTACCCTGTCTCCAATGGTGATGAAAGTCCGGGAGTCCAGGTTCCGGGGGGGTCTGTGGGGGGAAACAGACCCCATGAGCCTCAGAGGGAGCCACACCTTTTCCCTGGGAGAAGGAGCAAACCAGCCCGGCCCTGGGGTCGGGGAGGAGGGGGTGGGGCAGGGGACAGAGGTACCCCACCTCAGTCACTGAGCACTGTGGGGGTCACACAGGAGCCAGGGCCATGCTGGCCTACCCCTGAGGTGGAAGGAGGGGCTGGAGCAGACACGTGACCTCCGTGAGCCCCACAGCCACCCCACCTCATAGGAGGTGCCAACCAAGACACGCTGCCTATAGGCTCTCCTCCCCAGGAAGCCGTTCCAGGCTGAGCTGGGAGAGAAACTGAGGCAGACTCACGTGGGGCTAGGCGCAGGAGGCTTGGACACGCAGGATATCCGCAAATCCTTCTTCCTCCTGGATTTTCCTAAGAGGGAGAGAAGGTGAGGCTCAGAAGGTCAGTGATCAGTGAGTAGACATCCCCTGGGCTAGACAGAGCCGGGGGAGAGATGCCTCAGGCCCCTGCCCTCCAGGGCCCAGGCGCAGACACAGAGGCTGGCAGCCAGTGCTGTGCTGGGGCCCCAGAGCCTCAGGGCCAGCCCTGGGCAGAAATGCCCACACTCCCCAGTGCACATGGAAGCTGGCAGCAAGCAACCCCCACAACTGCCTGAGAAAGGCCGTGCCTCGAGGGCGCCTCCAAGGGAGCTGGCCCCACCAGGACAGCCCTGCACACCAGGCCACCTGGCACTCGCCTGGGCGAGGCCAGGTCTGAGTAACGAGCTTTCAGCCAGGCCCCAGCGCTCCCACCCAACACAGAAGTCCTACATCCTAAGTTTCTGTTAAGGGCTGAATTGTGCCACCTGCAAATTCACGTGTTGCAGGCTAAGACCCAGGACCTCAGAGTGCGACCCTGCTGGAGGTGGGGTCTCTACAGAGATGATCAAGTCATCACGAAGTCAGCAGCATGGCTGGCGTCCTTATGAGAGGGAGATTTGGACACAGTCCGATGCGCACAAAGGGACGACCATGTGAAGACTCTAGAGCCGGCCGACCAAGGCGAGGGGCCGGGAGCGGCTCCTTCCTTCACGGCCTCAGGAAAAACCAGCCTGCAACTCCTCCCCTGGCCCTCCACCCTCCGGACGGCACCCCAGGGTTTGTCTCCTAAGCCCCCCATCTGCGGGGCTTTGTTCCGGCCACCCTGAAAGCAAGTGCAGCCTCCACCCTCCCCCTTGTGCTGCTGACCTTGGTGAGGACATCCGAGGCAGAGAGCTCCTTTCAGGTGCTAGTCCTGAGGCAAGCCCCTTCTCTGAGCCTCAAAATCCCCGTCACCTCCAAGCACAAATGTGGTTGAAGGTGGGCAGGACCTGGCTGAAGCCTGATGCCCATTTCTCTCCCTGCCCTGCAAAGTTCTTGCATTTGCCGCCCCTCTAAGAACACCCCAGGAAGCCTCCTTCCTTTCCCAGGGCGCCAGGTGGGCCTGAGTTCTGAGACAGCGCCTCCCACCCCCTCACCCCTAAGGGCAGGCCAGGGGCTTCTCCTCTCCTAGCCTCAGTGTCCATGCACCTCGAGCCAGCTGAATGTGGCCAGGTACCTGGTCCACCACCAGGGCATTATGGGTCGCTGGGTACAGCTGGGGCACACAGAAGGCGCTTCAGCACCTCACAGGCAGGAGAGCAAGATTCAGAGATGTGAGGGAGCCCATTGGTGAGGAGCGATGTGGGCTTGAGCCCAGATCCCCTGCTCCCAGGCACCCGACGAGGGGCTCCCTTTTCCAAAGGCTGGCAGTAGCCTGCCCAGACCAATGAGCAGAGTGGCAAAGCTAGGACTCAACCATGACTTTTCAAAACAACCCAGGGCAGAAACAGTGCTACCCATGCGCCTGCTCCTGCAGGTCCTTCTGCCTGTGGGGCAGGGCCCCCCTCCCAGCCCACCCCAGCCAACTGCTGCTGACACATCAGCGGCTGCCCCGGGACCTGGGAACTACCAGCAGCCCTGTGCTACCTGCCATGGGTGCTCCCAGAGCACTGGGAGACCCTGGCCCTGAAGCCACCTGTGAACCAGGTTGGGATCCAGCCTCTGCCATGCCCCACTCAGTGCCTTGGGGCCTAATCTGTGACCCAGCACAGGGCCCACACACCCGGGCCAAGCCACCAGGCAGGCCTGGCACCACTGTGGGTGATGACATGGGGCTGTTACTGCCACAGGGAAGACAAGCACCCAGCCCAACTGTCCTCGGAGCTGGACAAACAATCAGGAAACAGAACAGTCTTGGTGGGGATGGGGACCCTGTGCCTGTACTGGTGCAGGTGGGCAGAATGCAGGGGGCAACACATGCAGAAGCCACCCCAGGGACTCCAGATGCCAGGCTCCAAGGTGTGTCCACCTGTACCCTGGCAGCCAGCAGCAGAGCCACAGTCCCAGAGGCCCTGAACAGGAAGCCCCACACCCACTGCCAAGCCAGTGCCCCAATGGTTCATTCCATGGTCCCAGAGCCCCTACTTGCTACACACTGGCCTTGGCATTGATGCAACTCTGTAGCCAAAAGCATGGACTCTCTGCCTCAAGTTTAAATCCTGCCTTTGCCCCTACGGGCAAGATCCCATACCTCTCTGGGCCTCCATATCCTTATCATGCAATGGGGATAAAAAGAGCACCTACCTTGCAGTCATCAGGTAAAACACTAGAACAGCAATTGGCCTGTATCAGAGCTATGTCACCACCTCTGAACACCCAGCCCCTGCCTGTCCAGGACCTGACCAAGAACCCTCAGGAGACAGCAATTTCCACAAAGAGTAGTGGCTGTGTCCATGGCATCTGCCATCTGCTGCCCAGCACTGGGGTGTACCAGCCGCCTAACCATGACTTGTGTGTGAGGTGTTTTCCCCCCATTTTACAGATGAGGCGACACGGCTGGCTGTCAGGGGCCACATGGGTCTCATTCCAAAGCTCCCTCATCCATCAAAGCAGCAGCTTACCTGTCACACATATGATACATATAGCCCTTTCCATTGATCCAGATGCTCTGATAATCCTAGGGAGGGTTCACTTTACTTGGGGAAACTGAGGCTCAGAGGTGAAGTTGCTCACAGTGAGCTGGGCCAGAGTCAGTCCTGGATTTGTTGCCTCAGAGACCTACCAGGCCAGGAGCTCCCGGCACCTCTCTCACAGGGAGATTCCCCAACACCAGAGGGACAGGCCATCAGCTCCCCAGGGGGAAACACATTGCATCTCACTCTGAGCAGGAAACCCAAAGGCCTCCCTGGGTTTGCAGAGGCCCAGAACTTTACACACAGGAAGAAGAAAACAGAAAATATGGGGCATGCAGGGCCACCAGTTCCTAAGACCCCGCCTGTGCTTCCTGGGGATCAGACAGTGCTGCAGGGGGCCAGCAGAGGCTGTGGCCAGGCCAGTGCAGTCAGGCCTGAGCAAGGCCAGCTCCACACTCCAGCTGACACCCTGCACAGGAAGATTTTATTCTTGACTGGATGATTTGCAACCAGAAGGTGAAACATTTTATGTTAAAAATCAGCAATCCACTCAGGCTTGCTGGGGTTCATGGCCACACCCGTGCCTGCATTCTCTCTGCTCTCAGCCCATCCTCATCCTTCTGACTCCCGCTTGCACACCCAACTCCCACTGTGGGACTGGGAAATTTCTGAGATGTGCTCCCTCTCACTGAGCCTCAATTTACCCATCTGTCAAAGGAGCTTCCATGCCTATGGCCAACTGGTGGTCAGGGCCCGTGCAAGGGTGGATGGAGGCCGCTTGGAGCACAGGGGTTGGGGGGCTGGGAGGGGTGTGCTCCCAGCCTTCTCACCTGCAGCTGTCACGTCAAGCTGTCAGACAGTGGGGAGGCCTCTATGGACGCACTGCCACCATCCACGGCAGACATCAGCACGGGGCCCGGCCTGGGGCTGCCTGGGTGCAGGCCTGTGTGGCAACTGTCATCACAACAAACAGAGGCTCACAGGCTGCCCACCAAAAACCACAAGCCCTCCAGCCTCGGCATGCAGGCCCCTGGTGCAGGCAGGCGGGCATCTGCGTGTCCACTTCAGCCCCAGCAGCACCGTAGGCAGGGAGCCCTGCATGCCACTGGCCCACAGTACAGGCTGGAGACCACAGAGAGGGGTCCCACACCTGTCAGCTTTGCCCTCCTCTCTTCCCACTCACCATTCCTTCATGAGTCACCTTCTTTCCCGCTGCAGGCCTTTGCACGTTTTGTTCCATCTGCCTGGAATACTCTGTCCTGCAACTTCACACCGTATATGACCTTCACCTTCCGCCTATTCAGAGGGGCTTTCCTGGTGGCTCCAGCTAAGCACCCTTGTTGCTGCATCTCCCTGGGTCCAGCTGGCTTCTCTCCCATCACTTCTCACATGTCACCATTCTGTGGTCACTATCTCAGAGACAGCTAGCAAAATGCTATGAGCACTGCCTTTGGAGCCAGGCAGCCTGGGCTCAACTGCAGCTCTGCCACTTCCAAGCTGAGTGCCCTTAGGCAAGTGACTTAACCTCTCTGGGTAGCATAGCCTTAACTCTGAAATGGGGATAATGGATTGACCTCCCAGGGTCGTCAGGTCATCAGTGCCATGCCTCCCTAGTGCCTGACACATGCAAGATTAGATTGAGCCATGGAAACCCACGGGGAAGCATTCTCACCTATTGTTGTACTGGGGGGAGGGGGTGACCCAAGAGAGGCAATGTGACTGAGGCCAGTGTCTGGCAGTGAGCAGATGTGAAGACAGGCCTGTTTGGCTCCAATGATCAAACCTGGACTGAGGGCCTGAAAGAGGGCCTCCCACCCTGCCCTGGGCCTCGGGGGGATTTCAGACAGACTGGACTGTGCCTCTCTCTCAGGGTCCACCACGGAGGAAGCAGGGAACAGGGGTGAGCAACCCCTCACCACGGACACTGAGGGACCCCCAGCACACCACGCTCAGTCACATGACCAGAGTGATGCCTGCTCTCGATTTATCACCCCCACCCCTACTCTGTGGTATTTCAGGTGTTTCTCAGAATTTCTGATTCACTGGAAAAGTCCTGGGCCCTGAGTGTCCATACCCATCAGGTAAGGGGCCACATGCCCACCAAGGAGAGGCAGGAGGCCAGATGTCCTGAGGGTGCCATGCCTCCTCCTGGCTTCCACCCACCCCAGCTGGGTCATCTCTGTCCTGCAGGGGTTCCTTAGAGAGAGAGCAACTAGGCCAGCCCACTCCCACTGCACAGGTAGGTAAACTGAGGCCTGAGAAGGGGAGAGGCAGGCTTTTAGATGGGGCAGGTTTACCTGAATAGCTAATGTTTATTGGCTTTCACCAGCCAAAAATCCCATGCCTGACACCTGACATGCACGAAGCCTGCTCACTGCAGGTGTCATTGCTCCATGGGGAGTGCCGGGTTGACAGAGAGGCCCAGTGAGGCTCAGAGATG